TGTATAAATGTAGCTGAAAGAGAGGATGGTGTTCATTGCTTATTTGCCATCATTTCATGTGTATGTACATGAAATACATATATGTTCATGCTTTCCTTTTTCTCATGCTTGTGGATACACATGTCTAGGCAGGAACATGGATGTGTATAAGTATGAAGAGACTTGAATTTGGTTTCACAAATCATGCCTCATTGGTCTGCCACCATATCAATTGAAGTAAGCTCTCCTAATCAGACTAGATGTGGACAATACAGCTGGTATCACCGGCCTGCTTGCCCCCATTTTTGACTTTCTAAGCTGGAATCACAGCTATGTCTATGAGCAAGCACTTGCTCAAATTCTGAAGACAGAACTCTGGTCTCCTTGCTTGCATGGCAGGCATTTTAATTGCTAAACTTTCTCCCCAAATTAAATTCATATCTTAAAATCTCATCGTATCTGTCTTTCACTGCAAGAAATTTCAGCAAGTCAGTATATATTTCAGCAGTAAAGTGTGGAGCAAGCTCAAATTTTCGCTATTGAAATTGAAATCATCTGTTGCATATATATATATATATATAGTACAGTAGATATATGTCAAATTATGTGTGTGTGTGTGTGTGTGTGTGTGTGTATACAATTGAGCTCGTGTGTCAGGAGCCCATAACAGACCAAAATACAGATGCTGCTGAAGTCCTACTTGGCAAACTAATGAATTTTATTGGGATTACTTATAGGAATATAGGTAAAGGGTTATTTACAGGAGAAGGAATGACTCATAACCAACTGCATCACCAAATCCACCTCAACATGGGTCAAGCTCACAGAAGTTGGGAATCTGGAGCACACTGCACAGCCTGCAGGCAGCTCAAAAATGTTGGAAAGTGTTCTTTGTTAAGTGACTCTGTTGGTCTAAACCTCTTGTAGTCAGCTTGGCTGGCTCGTGCTTCTCCCTGGGAGCTGGCCTGGTCTCAGTCTTCCTGGCAGCTTGTCTTGTCTGAAAAGAAATGCTCAACAGTTTTATTTTTCACACTTGGAAGAGGTGCGCCTAGCGAATCTGCTCAGTTTCAGGAACTTCTTGACTATATTCAGTTATCTTTTGGTTTAAGGAGATTCCCTGTAGTTTGGTGTGTTTCAATCACAAGATAACTGCTTCTCAGCAGCTACTACGAAAAGAAGGTTTTGGGAGAGCATTTTCTCAAGAGCCCTGCTACATTTCCTTAACTCCTCATCAGAGACACTTAAGAGAGTTTGTTCAGCCAGACAGTGGTGCCACAAGGCTTTAATCCCAGCACTTCCTAGGCAGAAGTGGGCCAATCTCTGTGAGTTCAAGGCCAGCCTGGTCTATAAAAGCTAGTTCCAGAACAGGCTCTAAAACTACAGCGAAACCCTGTCTTGAGAAACCAAGTGTTTATTCTAGACAAAGCATCTAAGGAAAAAGAGTGTCTTCCTATTTATTCAGCAAGGCTGCTAGGTTTACTTGTTTTCTGTATAAAACAAAGAAGCAAGTTCTTTATCTCTCATCCCTCAGTCTCCTGCTTTCAACCATGATTCTTTACAAGCTTAGAAAATCAGACTTTTCATGACTACTTGAACTGATTTAACCTAGAAAAATAAGTACATGTTCCATGAGATGGAATTGAATTTTTATAATCTCTAAATTAAATATTGATATATAATTCAATGAAATAATGTGTATTTATGCAGTATCTGATTTTAAAAATAGTATATTGCAGTAAAGCTTACATGATAATACATATAGTGAAGAAACATCCTCAAAACTATTGTATAAGAAATTCTGGAAATTCTAAATAACCACAGTTAATGGTATCTCACTGCTTCAGAAATGAAAATCAAATTGAATTGCTAACTACATGGTTTTTAAAGTATTATTTGTTACTAATATTTTTCCAAGTAATTGAGTAGGAGCTAAAACACAGTAATTATAATGACTGTATTGATTAATTCATTTGCATGCTCACTAAGCACTGTGTCTATTTGAAGCACCAAACTGCACGCCGACTGTGAAGTGAGCAGCATCAGTGCTCATGATTAAGAACCGGGATGACTAAATAATGCAGAAAGAAATAGTGAGGAACAGATATTGATTATCCATTAGCACATATTTTTCTCATTTTTTGAGATTATAATATAATTATGTTCTTATCTTCCCTTTCCCTATCTAAACACTCTTATATACTCCTTGATTATATATATATATATATATATATATATATATATATATATATATATATTCTAGAAATCTTAAAACATTTTAGCAGATGCTAAATCTTCACTACTAAAAGCTCATATCATAATATAAAAATAAAAGTGAATTTAAATTTAGAAACTATTTTTCAATAGATTGGGTTTATCTTTTTAACTATATATAACTAGCTAAACAATGCTTGTGAAGAAATATAGGCCAAAATTGCAGTTTTATGTTCTGAATAACGACACTGGAACACGGTTTTCTTGTAGGCTCTTATCAGTGCTGATAATCAACTGATTGTTAAGTATTTTGATGTTACTCTTATTTGATTAACTATAGTCAGTGGGGAGCTGCCATCAGAATTCTCTTAAGTTTGAAAGTGTACTACATATGTTCTTCTCTGCTTGCATTGCTTTGAAATGAATATGAGCGATAATCTCAACAGAATACATGATCTGGAATTTTTTTCCCATCAGCTCTTCCCAGACATCTGTGCTTGAGGCTACTTTATAATTGGGAAGGGGCACATACGATTTAATCTACTTACAGAGGGTCTATTGGCTGGCAGACTGTGAAGCTGTAATGGAATTCAGAATGAGGACATATTTTGTTCCTGAATCCCGAGTGCCTGATCTCAGACCATAGCTCTCAACCATGACTGAGCAATAAAATCACAGAGTTCAGGGAAACTGCTTAGAATAGAAAAGTACGGAGAATGTAATATTCGAAAAGATTAGAGATGTGACACCCAGAAGAAAGTTAAGAATATTTCTGATGTCCATGTAAAATAGCAATAGGTAATACTAAGTTAAAGCTATAATTAATGGAGGATATGAAGAGGAGAATGCATGATAAAAATTATAGAACCCAGTTTGAAGACTTCCACAATGTTACACGCCATCATATTTCAACCTTTTGATTTGTAAAATGAAACTAATGACACTGCCTTCCTGAAAGGGTTAAACAGAGGATGATCTTCTATATTTAAAAATAAAATACAAGATAGTACTTGAGATACTAAAGTGCCCAGCAAACATTTGAGGTGGCCTTTAGGTGTGTTGAGAGGATCCTTACTTTATTCAAAGTGCAATTTGATATTAGAGTTTGCATTATTAGAAAAATCTGTTCAATGAATGTTTTTGTACAGTTAATGTATAGTCAAGTTGAAAGGACTCAACACAGACAGAATGTGGAGGTTCTGGGAGGCTCAGAGAGGAGGCTGCTCTCTTCCTTCAATCAAGGACGCTTGAGACAGAGAGGTCTACAAAAAGTCAAATGAGGTCCAGTTCATTAAGTTTTGTTCCTAGTTTCTGTGCTACCAGAGTTCAGTTTAAAAAGCATTTTTTTATGCCAATGAATTCAAGGTTATTCCCCAGTTTCTCCTCTTTCTGACTCAGTGTATCTTCTTTTGTATTGGCTTCACTGATTCATCTGGAGTTGCATTTTGTGTTTTGTGCAGGGTGAGGCATATGCACCCAAGATGCACCTATCTAGTTAACCAACTCAATTTGTTGAAGATGCTTTCTTTCACTGTGTGTATAGTTCTGGCATCTTTGTCAAAACTCAGTTGTCAGTTGGTGTGTGGCTGTCCCATTCCTCAGTTTTGCTTTTAAAAGTGTGCTTCAGTCTACTGTTATCTCGAATAATATCTATGTTCAAGAAAATATCTTTAAAATTTCTGTGATTTTTTTCCCCAAAGGACTATGGGATAGAATTATTAAAAAGAGAAATACCTGTGTTTTGTTTAAGTAAAGAAAAGTCATGGAAACATAAGATTTTGATAACTGTAGAATGTCCCCACAGAGACCTTTCCCCGTGGGAGGGGGCTTGAAGTCTTTCCCTCCCCTTCAGTCTGTGAAGATAGTGGGGTTCACAGGGAGCACGAGTTCAAGCTTGTTCAAAGTTATCACAGAAGCACAAAGGTGAGAGGAAGAAAGGTCCAAATGCCCACAAAACAGCATCTCACAGGGATCAGGCAGTTGGGCTTTAATAAAGATTCTGGAGATTATTAGAGCAGTTTTTCCCAAGAACCTAAAAACAGATTTGACAGTTTTCCCCACTGCATACAATGATGTATAAAGAGGAGATTTTCTGGTTTGTACCCTGCAGTTCCAAGGATAATGCTGGGACTCTGTTGTGATAAACAGAGGAGAGGCTTTAATATTCTTCCCCAGGAATGGCTATGCCTGTGTTCTCCCGAAAACCAAATGGCATGGCTGTTTATTCAAATGACCAGTAGTAGATTACAACTTTTAAAAATTAAATCCTGGCTGATAGTTTAGTATTATGTCAGAGTTCATGCTTAACATGATTGAGGATATGATTTAATCTTCATTGTCCCTCAGACACAACAAAATAAAACAAAATATCATGTCTCAGGATAGAGCTATAAATGCTTACACTGAGAACATACCAATTTGATAGGTATTTTCTTTATATTTATACTTCTAAGTGATATAAAAATAGGTGGACAATTATCAGACTAAAAATGTAATTAGCAATTTGTTTTTAGTTGTAAGATAAGTTCTTGATAGAGCTTTATCCATCTAAAATTCAAAGTATAAATTTAAATTATACCAGTATACTTTGTTAATTCATGTATTTAAAATTAATGTGGAAATGTCATATTTATCAATGAAAGTTCACTTTTAAAGAAAGAATATATTAAAAAAAATATTAAGGTAAGTCAGCCTCTTCCATGTTTACATTGATAATTAAGATCCTTTAAAAATGTTTAATATATTTATTTTACTCCTGAATAGAAATAAGTTATCAAGTTTCCAACTCTGTGATCTATATTCTTTTTTAGGACTTTGGCGATGATGGGTCTTTGTATATCACCAAGGTTACCACAGTACACATGGGCAATTATACCTGCTATGCAGAAGGCTATGAGCATGTCCATCAGACACACATCTTTCAAGTGAATGGTAAGAATAGTGTTACTGTCGACAGTTTTACTTCACTTGATAATCTCACAATTGAATGGATGGTACCTTAACTTTAACAAAGGTTCTAAATTTTAGTTAGTAGATTTACTGTTAGTTTGGTATCATTTAGTTTTTAAGTCCTCAAGTAAATTAAAACTATAAATTAGTAAAAATTTAGTCATTATAAACTATTACAAAGTAACATTTTAAAGAATAGGAAATTGAAGTTATTGGTTTTGGTTGAAAGTATCAATCATTATAAAAACATGAATCTTAGAAACCAGTAAGATTAGTAATTTAGAATTTTAAATCAGATCAGCTGTTTGATTACTCATTAGCACCACCGAAAACCCCTTCGTACCTTGTGTCGTAGTATCAGTTGTAACTCCAACACCTGTGCTGTAGAGGGATCTTTACCTATAAACTGAGACTAGCGTGGGAAATATGGGTCATTGCCTAAGTTTTTTTTAATTGCCTTATTATTTATGTGAAACATGTCTTACATTGTGATGCTTTATTCAGTGTTTTGGAGTGTTAATCAAACAAGCTTATCAAAACCCTTTATTTAGCACAGATTTAACCTGACTTGACATAGAATCCTTTGTATGATGTGTTTTTAGTAAGGTGTTTCATACTTTACCACATGTACTATTTATCTACTTTGTGATCTATAAAACTAAGCAGAGGCTGTTTTGAGGGGCTGACAGTGTGACCAGCATGCATGCCTGCATTAAAAAAGACTCAAGCTATGTGTTTGGAGGCCTAGAGTTGGGTATTTTGGATACACACACACACACACACACACACACACACACACACACACACTGTGGTTTGGTTTCTAAGCGTTGTAGAGAATTGGGATATTTGAATTTGTTTCAAATAAATGAATACTTAAGATACTGTAATCAATGGGAAATAAATACTTGTGCAGTAATACAGTAGGGGTCAGTTTGGAGAATGCTGAAAAGGACACCTGCTGCTGTCACTAGCAATGACAGATAGGTGTGAAAATGAGTGAAAACTTGTCTTAGAGATGTGAGGGAGGAGTAGGGAGAACCTGCAATGAAGATGAGAACACCAAGAGACATGGTGCGATTAGCTTTTTTTTAATTAATTTATTTATTTATTAAAGATTTCTGTCTCTTCCCCACCGCCGCCTCCCCTTTCCTTCCCCCTCCCCCAATCAAGTCCCCCTCCCTCGTCAGCCCAAAGAGCAATCAGGGTTCTCTGCCCTGTGGGAAGTCCAAGGACCACCCACCTCCATCCAGGTCTAGTAAGGTGAGCATCCACGAAACTGCCTAGGCTCCCACGAAACCAATAGGTCCAGTAGAATCAAAAACCCGTTGCCATTGTTCTTGAGGTCTCAGTAGTCCTCCTTGTCCCCTATGTTCAGCGAGACCAGTTTTGACCCAGGCTTTTTCAGACCCAGGCCAGCTGGCCTTGGTGAGTTCCTGATAGAACATCCCCATTGTCTCAGTGTATGGGTGCACCCCTCGCGATGAAAGGAGACAGAGACAGAGACAGAGAACCACATTGGAGCACCGGACTGAAATCTCAAGGTCCAAATCAGGAGCAGAAGGAGAGAGAGCACAAGCAAGGAACTCAGGACCGCGAGGGGTGCACCCATACACTGAGACAATGGGATTAGCTTTGAATACGTTAATGAAGGCATACTTATCGATGCAAAAGTCACGAGAAGACTGACAGACATAGTTGTGTATTCAGGTACTTCAGTTAAAGTTTTAATCAAATCAAGCTCAAGCTTGATTGGATCACCTTAAGAATGTGTGTAGTCTGGATGTAAAGTTAGAGATCTGAGCCTTGGAATTAAAATTACAAAGAAGAAAAAGATGCCAAGGGACAGACAGAGTGTGAGGAAACCAATATCCAGGAACATAATTTAAAAAATGCTCTAAAATGCTGAAAAAATGGGGCTGGGGTCTAGCTTAGTTGGCAGAATGCTTATGCAGCAAGCATGAAGTCCTGGGTTCTGTCTACAGCACAGAATGAAGCAGGGTGGTGCACGCCTATGCCGGCACTCAGGCGATGAATATGCAGGAGCATCTGCAGTTAAATTCTTCCTCATCTATTGGGATTTCAAAGCTAACTTAGGTCTTTTTTTTTTAAGGGATGTTAAAAAGTAAACTAAAGCTGGAAAACATGGGGAGTGTGATGCCCCATGAAATGCAAGGGTAGAAGATCCAGACTGTGGTTTCTGGGCCAAACTCAGCAGGAAACTCGCCCTGGGTCTAGTTTCACATCAGCTTCCAGGAGTAAACAGTGAAGAAAACAGAGCAATCATATATGTTCTTGGAGTTTCAGGTGCTTTGAACTGGAGCAACATCTGAGCCATTCTTCCCCTTGAATCAGTGCTGTGGCTACTTCCAGTCTGAATACATTAGACTCAGTAGAACAGACACAGTAAGACCCATCCTCATTTTCCTTGTAGTAGTAATTGGCTTCAAGCAATCTGACAAGACCCACACCCTGAACTTTCTTACATTTTTTTTATAATTAAAGCACAGATTTTCTACTTCACCGTATTGCTAGCAATTAATTTTTGTCTCTTAATGTGACTTACTGCCTGTCTCAGCATTAATCTTTCAGCCTAGCCCCTTGGTTCTTCTTTAATGAGTCTCGTCCATATTCCATCTACTTCAGAGATATATTTTAAAATATCAAAAATACAAAACCCCAGTTTTCACCAGCTACCCTGGACGTTTGGTTTGCAGTTGGTATTCCCAGACAAGCTGGAGAATGTGATGCAGGGAACGTGTGTCCCATGGGAGGTCAGAAGAGTCACTATAAAAGGCTGCCCTTCGACAGTTCCGGCTCTTTGCCCCCTTCTGAAGCAGGTTTATTCTCAAGTCACCCACTCACTGAACTCCAGCTGCGAACTTCAGAGACCTGAGCCAAACTGTAGGTTTTTATGTTGTAGGACTCATTCCCAGCCACCACGTATGTGCCCTGGTTTATTTTACCCCGTGAATAAACCGTTTGTTCTCGGATGTCAGGTTTTTCTCAAAGATGGTTGAAGAGGAAAGAGACATCCATCACGAATCTTCATGTACCATCAACCTTAACCATATATATGGAATTATAACTGCTCCTCCATTTTCTAAGTATATAGGTTCTCAAATAAGTATTGAATTAGAAATAAAACCAGCATTTTATTTATCCAGTTACTTTTAATGCACTTTGAATTCCCCATATCAAACTTTTCCTGAATGCGATTGATGTAATCAAAACTGGATCATGATGTAAAATTTCTGTTAGGCCAAAAGAAAAAAATAGGATGGTGCTATACAGTTTAAATGCTAGATTTGAGTACTTAAACATAGACTATAACAACTTAAAGGTTGTGTGTGTGTGTGCTTGTGTTTGTGACAGCTAGTCAATCAATGTACTTTCTGTGTGTTTATATAGTATACGTATGTATGTACCTGTACTTGCTAGATGAAGTACATAATTAGGAAAAGGCTTACATATTTTATAATCTTTCCTCACACATACAAACTTACAAACACATACAAACATACAGATAAAATAAGCTCTTTCTTCTGTAAGTTCTTTTTGGCCAGAGTATTTTATCCCACTTTTAAACATTTGCACAGCAAATATATGATTAACTGAACTATTTCCCTAGCATTCCACCTTATTTGTTTATTTGCTTGTGTTTTTGTTTGTTGGGTGACATTGTGTTTTCAGTGAGGTCAATTATTTATTTATTGTTAGGCTTTAAAATATTTATTATGTTTTCCCTTATATTGAAAAGCCATAACATATATTCTGGCCAGGACTTACCCTCTCTCATCTCCTGTCAAATCCTTCCAATTTCCCCTTTCATCTAATCCATACCTTATTTCTTCCTCTTTAGAAAACAAACCAGCAAAAAAAGAGTCGAACAAACTAGAATTTTAAAATAAAAGCCAAAACATCAAAAAAGGACCAGAGACAAACACATGGAAACACATACAGAAGAATCCATTTTCACACACACAAACACACACCAAAACAAAGAAACACAAAATAAGAAACCATATTATAAAATAAAAACCAGTAAGATAAAAGATGCTAAAATAAAGTAATATGAGACAGAAAATTTACACAATAACACCAACGAATTTGTTTCATGTTGGCTATGTTGGCTGAGCATAGGGCCAGCCCTTTAGTAAGGTGAAATGCCACTGGAGAACACTTATATTTCATTTGTAAGTGGTTGTCATTTATTGATAGTCTCTAGGTTAGGTACGGAAAATTGTTTCTAATTTCCCCTCTGCATGCAGGGTTCCCTTCTGGCTTAAAACTGTACAGGCCCTGTGCATGATGCTCCAGTCTCTGTGAGTTTATTTCTGGAAGACACGATTTTCTTGGCATCATCCATCAACTCTGGCTCTTAGAATTTCTGCCTTTTCTCATGCATTGTTCTTTGAGAACAATAAGATGGATTTGATGATGTTATCACGTTTAGAACTGAGTGTCCCAAAGTTTTTTACTCTTTACCCATGGTCCAGTTGTCGCTCTCTGTATTTGTTCCCATCAGAAAAACTTCTGATGATGGCTGAGCAAAATATGAGTACAGCAGGAAGTCATTAGGATTCATTTGCTTTTTATGTTCTTTTATCAGAACGGTAGCGTATGTAGTATTGTTTTCCACTAGGTTCATAGCCTATGTGGTCTCAGGTTGTTAGTGTTGAATTCCACCTCAAGGACTCGGTCTTAAATTCAATCAGATAGTTGTTGGTGACTCCTACATTGTTTGTGTCACTATAGAACCATCTTCTTATGATGCAAGCAGGTCACCTTTGTTGATAGCAAGTTTTGTACTTGGGTTGGTGGTTGCCTTTCTCCTCTAGAACATTGCAGAGTACATTCATGTTCCATGAACACTGGTCAGGAGGAGTGAAGGTTGTAGTTAAGCACTAGGTCATTTTTTCTGTGTTAAATTAAGTATGTAAATGTTGTTTTCAGTGATATGGTCTCATCATCAGTTTATAGAG